GATCACTGTCCGCCGCGACTGCGTGAGCTCTGCGGCTGTGCAGGCGACATTATCGCTTCCATCGAGATCATACCATTAATTGTTACTTATTTTTGCAGTAAATAAATATAATACAATTTGTAGACATCATTTGATCATACTAGAAGATAAATTGAAGTATTGTAGTTCCGATTGAGGCCAATCCGCTCCATGTTAATTAAGATAACGAGATACACTCCGTGTTCCTAAATTACCAATAGTTAACCGCGTATTTTGTTTATAGTTTGATTGCAAGATAACTTATTACGAGCTAGGTAGTTACAGGTACATTTAAATTCGCGTACAAGTTAGATGGAGTCATGTTACTCGTTTACGGATTTGATTACATTTGAAACATAACGTAGTTCAGCGAGAAAAATTATTAGTATTTAACTAGTTTGTACAGTTATTGCATTTTAGAAATTAATTATATCCAACAAGAACAAATATTTATTCCGCAATAATGTACATAAAATGCATATATTATATTTTATTTAATAATGAGCGTTACTAACCTAGGTTACGTTTCATTGTTGCGAATTTACCATTTAACTATTAACTGTTTCATTATCGTCCAGACTAAATACCCTTGAAATTTAGATAGCATATTATTATAAAACAAAAGTATTTGTTAAACTACTAAGTTTTTTTTTAATTCAATTCCTGAGTGAGTGAATATATATATATATATATATATATATATATATATATATATATATATATATATGTATACTGTCGAGTGAAGAAAATAATTTAGGATTCCGTGCAGTACATATATTCGTTGTAATTTATGAGCGACTGTGGCGTTTATACAAATATGTACCCATAAACTTAAATATGAGTATAAGGTACTAACATCTGATCATTACTTAATACTTTACTGAAATTGAATAACTTCCAATAATTACTAGCGAAACATCACGTAATATAAGAGGTAGGTAGGTATTGCTTAATTTCGTAAGTTTTAATGACAATAATTACCAATAAAATCATAAAATTTGTACGAGATACTTAACCGTTATGGTGATATTTTCATATCGATTGTGGCATAACAAAACGATTCGTGATCCAATTGCTTGCGGAGGCGCAGCGTGGCAACTGCGCCGCAGCGGAGCGGCGGTCGGCGCACGGTGGCGCAACGCTCGTTAACCTACATGCGCCCGAGCACAAACTCACATCCCTTACGAACAAAAAACTTTAAACTCAGACATAAATGGGCATTTAGCGAATCTAGAGTACCTTAAAGATTATGCACTAGCCGCTTACCCTCGCTTTGCTCGGGTGCATCCTTACGTGCCTAACAGTAAGTAACTTAGGTGCTCCAAATCTTTCCAGCCGTTTCGGTGTTAAAGAGTAACAAACATATGTACATACATAGTCCAATGTGAAAACTTAACATTTTACACAATTTTATAGATTGCAATTGCACTGATGCATCTGTATGAAGCATTTTCTGACGAAATGTATCTGTAATTCACCTATTCTAATGTGATGTGATGTTCTCCTGACCGATTCCGGCCAAGGCGGCCAATCTCTTTGAGACTAGCCAACTGCGCAGGAGGAGATATTATAGTGCACAAGTGTACGCGCAGATACAAGTGCACTCTCTATTTCTGTCACTCTCATACTCTGGTGGGACGACCACTCGACACGACCAGTGAGAGCTAAGGCGCAGGACCGACAGCTTTACGTGTTCTCCGAGGCACGGGGGTGAAACACCGCCAACTTCCCAACTCCGGGCTGTTACTGAGGCTTACTATACAGAAAGACTCAATAACTAAACTTGGCCCGACCCGGGACTCGAAGCCAGGACCTCCGGGTGTGCAGCCGTACATGCTAGCCGCTACATCACCGAGGCAGTTAAATTCTAATAACTGTACCAATAAATCATTTATATTTTTTATTTGCCAATTTTATTTGACTTATAGATGTCGCGTATAAATGTGTTAGTATATTCTTAACACTGTAAAATTATATAAAACTACTAGCATTGCCGATGATCAGATGATCTAAAACCAAATTCCTAGGTTTTACATATTAGTATACTCTTACATTGCAGTTTCTGTATTTTTTCTCAGAAATGAGACATCTTCCCGCAGTAAAAAGTATCCTATATGTTGACCCGGATAACCAACCACCAGCTATCATCATACCAAATTTCATCAAAATCCCTCCAAAGTGGTTTTTCTGTGATACGGTAACAGACAGACAGATAAAAATTCTAAAAACTATAGATTCGGCCTCTGTATTGAGAATAAGGTTTATTTCAATAAGATTTTCTAAAAAATATTTAATGTACAGATTCGGCTTAGTTACAATTTTATTATATATAAAACTATAAAAGATTATTGTAGTGTGAAAGGCGACTGTAACAACTTACGTTTTACTCGTGCTAGGTAGGTACACATTTCAACTTCTTCAGTTTCAGTTTCTCTTAACACTACAATAACACGAAGTACACCATTTAATTTTAAATACTTTTCTGTTCTAATGACGTAAACTACTGATTGAATTCAGGATTTTACGAGCGTAGGCCTGATGTTACATGCAAGTATATAGATTAATTTACGATCCCCGTTATATAAACTTACTCAATACTTCTACTATGTAGCAAGCTCAGAAGATAACAAAAATATATTAAACTATTAGAGGTAAATTGAAGTTGCGACAACGAGCTATAATTAACCGTGGATAGTAATTTCATCTTGTAAAGAGCAGGAGGTCAAATGATAAATAATAATATGTTCTTACATGGGTTCAACATCACTATACAGTAATGTGTCAGTTTGCGTTTGATTATATTTTATTAAAAATATATTTTTTTAGGTATTTTCTACAATATTTTATTAAGGTACAATACAGACTATATGTAAACTTTTAACTGCTTAAAAAACTGTAATTTTTATACTTTAAAATATAACTCGCTAACCAAAAAAGGAACTTTTATAATAAGCAACACATTTTAATATAGATATTAATTTAATTGGAACTAATATGTTTGTGGAAATTGCTATTAACAACCTTTTTTTTTAACGTTGGGAAATGCATTTACGCACGAGGTGTGGGACTCACCGGCAAAGCCAATACTACCCAGCCTGCCGAAGCAGACCACAACAACCATGGGGCTGCTCCAAGGTCCACTCTGCTATCAGAGAAGTACCAGGAGCAACCCGCATGGTACACCACCCACCGAAGAGGGCCACCTTCCACCGCCCACCGAAGTGGGCCACCTTCCTGTGCGTTTCTGGGCTTCGTGCCCGGCTGGAGTGCCGGGCACTACTGAGCCCCCCCCCCCACCACGACAAGGTGAACGCACGTTCGGGAGGGGGGGGGGGTTGGGGTTGGGGTTAAATAACGCAGAAACCGTTTTCCATAAGCTTAGCTAAAGCGCAGATTTCACATATTTTTTCATATAAACTATGACGCTCCTTTTGATTCTCGCGGTCTGAACGTTAATGTTAGTATATTATCATATAGTAAATTCGACGAGCTAAATTAAGTTCATAATATTTCGTTCACTTATGTATATGTATATTCCTTGGTATAATTGTATCAGTTAACAGATGTAATATTATACGACGTGTTTCGGTTCGCGGGCTTGCTCCAATTCATCGTGTCATTTGACAGACCTTTCTCATTTTAAGTTTAATAATATAATTTTAAATATATTAATATTATTTCTGTGAGAACGTGTAATCTAATTGTAAAAGAGATTTTCCATAAATTTTATGACAACTTATTATTATTAATTTTTCAAAAAATAATCTCCATAAAAGTCTAATAATATTTCTTTTGTGTATTATTATAGTCAGTAATTTTTTTGAACTGCCATTAATTACAACCACTGTAATGTTACATTACCGTGTTACAACTTAAAAATAACTTAAATTTTATTATGTGTAAAAGCTAGCGACTTACCCTCGCTTTGCTCGGGTGCGTTTTAATTTTTTTGAGTGGAAACCTAATTCTTTTTATAAAATAAAAGTAGTCTAAGTTACTCTTTATAACATCAGCTATCTGCCAGTGAAAATCCCGTCAATATCAGTTTCGGAGATTAGAAGGAGCAGATAGACAGACAGACATAAACTTTAAAAATATGTTTTTCTTATAAGTACCGTAATTTCACATACATTTAGTAAAAAGCTGTTATTTTGACATAACAAACAGTCACTTTAATTTTATTTATATGTAAGATAATAATTACATATGCCTGAATAAGCTCAGTTGGCGCATTTTTTTTAAATGTATTTGATTGAAGTGTAATGTTTTTTATTCTTCTAAATTATACTAACAATTCGCTGAGAGTAGCGGCACGAGCGCAGGCGTTACGTGATGGCTGGTAGGCACACCGCGTGACTCGCTCGCCCTGGTTTCATACAGGATCTAAGCATATAAACCGTCCAACTTATTAATTAAGCATTCAGATATGGCTTTATAATAAATTAAGAGATATCGATATCAAATACTACTACTATTTAAAAATGATATTGTGTAAAAAATGATATTGTATAAATAAAGAAATAAAACTAATATATTTTTTTCTCATTTCAGATATTGACCTCAACCTTCGCTGGATTTCCACCATTGTCGTGAAAAATGGAATATCTTGTTATCAGTGCTGTGATTGTGATGCATTAAATCCTTCGTAAACTGTTAAGGGTTTGGGGTGAATAATGGGAAAAAGGAACGTTCGGATCAAGTTTGCACATTCCATTGGTCCGCCTATTGATTTGAATCCACTGGGCACTTCTGAGTAACACCTCAGCCCACGCTTTCACGCACTATCAGTTACCGACGCTTTTGCGGCAGCCAATAAAGTACAAGTCATATCGGGTTAAATATAACTCATTTATTTAAACGTAGATATATTTACTTTAGTACAAAATAAGAAAACACAGCACGAGATTGCTTAATGTAATTATATAATTTGGTAAAGCTCAGACCGAGTAATCGTTCTCGGTGGAACAATTGCAAAGGTAGTCATGACGGCCACTGCACCAGAATTGTCAAAATCAGATTTTTTTGATTTTGTGACATCAAATGAAATAACGGATGCGCAATACAAACAACAAATGCGATCTGTAAATGTATTCATGGAATCTCCCGATTCTCGTTCTAATCCCCTGCTGTCGGAAGAGCCCAAGGAACAAAATAATAACAGTTTACTAAGTGTAACCAGTATACAGTCGTCCACTACTAACAGCATGACCACAGCAACTAGCTCTAACCCACTACAAAGTTTTGACTCCATATGGAATGTCGACAGAGATAGAGATCGTATAGAAACTGCAATGCTAGAAGATCTTAATAAATTTTATTGGAATCAAGATGGAAGTGAACTAAATGGAACGCATCCGTGTAGCGACACCGCCATCTCAAATAAATTAATTAGTAACAACACTGATGGGCAAATATACACACTAACTGTTCTTAACCAAGATATTAACGAAACAAGTACGAATCGTCCGTATAATTGGGGCAAAGAAGAAGACGTTTCTATGTCGAGTCCAACTGATTTGGAGCAAAATCCCTCACTAGATCTAGAAACGATATTAAATATGAACGGATTTCCTAACGACTTCAATCAAGATACGCTTAATGCGAACATACTTGCAAAAGATACTTTCAACTATGAAGACGGAGATTCTGAAAATCCTACAACAGAACTAGGTACTAGTAACTTAGTTAAAGTTGAACCATTTAGTTATGATGACAATGAATTTCATAGTAATGATAAAAAAGATGACTCATCGCATAGCACCATAATTGGTACGCCAACCATGCTAGAAGTGGAGTATAATAACAATAATAACGACTGGAAATTGACTGACCAAAACACAGAATCGAATGAGTCTCTATTACGAAGTGCCCTGCAAGGGAAAGCTTTTATTAGATATAGTGCAATACAGAAAAATCCCCTTACCAAACTCAGTACAGACCAAGATTTGAAAACGGTTATTATTAACAATAATAACAAAGCAGACGTACCATCAATGTACCAAGATAGTAAAGATGCGGATACGGAACTACTAATGGCTATAGGGCCAGCAAATGGAAATGTCAATATTTCAATCCTTTTGGAAGAACCTACTGCTACTGTTGTGGCCAATGGAGAAAATCCAACTTCAACACAAAGTGTCGACGATATTATCCTATCTCAACTCGATACTACTTATCCAGATGACTACGAAAAGTTAAAGCGAATCGCAACAGAGTTAGGTGAATCAGTACAACCATTTTGCACTGTGGAACCTATTGACCCAACGCGAAGTGTTTATAATATTCATCACGTGAACGGTGAATTAGTCACAATGATTCCTGCAGGTGAAGTACAATTGCCACACAACATACATGTAGTAACAGCATCGCCTACTGTTTCGAGTACGAAACCTGGAAAAAGATATAATAAGAGACCTCCAAATAAAAATTCTCCGCCTTCAACTCAAGCACAATCGGGGACCGCTGTTCAAGCTGCGACCTCTACGTCAAACGGAGTCAGAAAAGAGAGATCCTTACATTACTGCTCTATCTGCTCGAAAGGTTTTAAGGATAAGTACTCAGTAAATGTACATGTGAGGACGCATACGGGCGAAAAACCTTTCACTTGTTCTCTATGTGGAAAGAGCTTTCGACAGAAGGCTCATCTCGCAAAACATTACCAGACACACATTGCACAGAAAAGCGCTGCCGCTAACGGCGCCACGAAGCCCACCAAACAGCGGTAACCGCTCGGAACACGCTAATGTTTCCGTTCACATTGATATTCAATTGAACTAAATGACTGATAGCGAGTGTACTTTTTAATCGAATACGTAAAGGCTGAAATATCAGAAGAATTTGGTAAGGTGCTAAATAAATTAGTAGTTTAAACATTTAAGGCAAGAATGCGTCAAAAGATTCTCGGCCGTTATCAAGCTTGTTAATTTGTATGTAATTCCGTCCGTTACCGACTACTTTTAGCTTTAGCTAGTTTTAGCTATATACAGGTACAATTAAGTGTTTTTAATGATGAGATTGTTTAAACTATACATGATTCAATTTTAATAAGTCATATACATAATATAAATATGTAATTTATCTTATTACTAATAACATTATAGGCAATTTTGAAGCATTATTATGTCTAGCTTTGATTCTATTATAATATTTTCATTTATTATTATTTATTACCAGGAAAATTTAATGTAATCATATAAAAAAATTACAATGATGAGCAAATTTAGGATTACCAATAGACTATTCGCACTGTAATTTCTCCGGTGGTGCGACCGAGCAAACTTTCTAAAAAATAATAAAAAACCATAGTAAAAGAACGAACATTCAGTACCAACTATCTTTCTCCACTCAACTATCGTACATGCATTGCTTTTAGTTTAGCTTTTTCTTCCTCTTGTCGAGAGATGAATACTGCTTTAACTCGAGAGTTGGCTTTTTATGCCGATAGTTGCTGATTTTTATGCCGATAGATGCAATCTATAGGTAAAGTATCCCAGATTATACTAACTATAATTTAATTTACAATATAACAATAATCTTTATATGATATAATTCTTTGCAATCAGATGATTGATTACATTGTACTTAAAAAAGCTCGGTGAAGGGTAACTCTTTGATGAAATTAAAAGGAGAGCAATATCAGGAGAGTTTTGATTGCACTTAAATTGCTATAAATTTCAAATACGAGCATTTCTATAGCCATCTTTAAAATTGTGCTCCCTTTCTCATCTAACAAATTGGCCTTTCTTTGTTCCTTTCGTGCAGCGCCGCGCCCTGATATTTATGAAAGTATCTATCATAAACATCAACTATTATAAAAAATATATTAACTGAACTATAGCAATAACGACTACTACAGCAACTCATTATTAAAATAATACTTGTTATTATTATTTATATTAACAAACAAAATTGACAATAACTGGTATGCTTATCTATACATATATTTAATAAATATTATCAACCATAAAATCTTAACAAAATTAGTCGTTCATTAAGAGATTACAAGGCATATTATATATGCGGAAAAAATATAAATTGGATTTAAATGACCTCTTTAAAAGGAAACGTGGGTCTTTTATAATGGGTATCGAGTCGTGACGTTACAGTAATTGTATTGGCGCGGCGTCAATCTCTTAGTCTCTTATCATATAGTCTATATATATTTATATATATATATATATATATATATATATATATATATATATATATATATATATATATATATATATATTCAATTTTTTTTCTTTTATCTTAAAAGTCAGTCGAATTTGACTATCTCATGATTTTGCGTCTAGGTCAGTTATCAAAGAGAGAACTAGATTACCGTATATGAGTTACACAAATACATTTCATTTTTAATTATGTACTATGCAACAGCATATTTTATAATATGAGTGACGTTAGTTTTATTACCTGCTACGGGCCATGCCACATTTAACATAATCAGACTCATGCGGCGACGCGGAAGCAGAACTGCACGTCCGTCAAACGTTGTGGCTTGTACTTTAATATTTTTTAAATTATTGTATGTAAAACAAGTCACAATTTCAGTATTACACTAAGTTACACGCTTATGAACTCAAGCAAAGTATATCTCAAATACTAAATTAGTAAAACGAATACTCTAATACTCATCGTGATGTTTTATTTGACATCATTCGCATTTTATGTAGTACTCAGTAATATTGATTAAGTTCAGTTTACCTGAAATTTGGTCTATTTCTCTTGCCAATAAAAATAATTACAATTTATAAGTTAAGTATAACACATCACTGCCCATGAATGTTTCTATATAACTGAAAGACTAATTTATCACAAACAACATATTGCTTAGATGCTTGACTATAAGAATAAATACTTTTTTAAAAGCTTTTACTTTTATATCAATTTAAGTTATTATTAAAAACAAATTGGATACACAAGAATTATATTCTTTATTTAACAGATTAAAATTATAATTATTGAATAGAATATTAAATTATATTTATAATTTGACAAATGTATTTTGCAATTCTTTTTAAAAAATCTTGTTATTATAACTATACATATATAAAGAAGTAAGGGAATGCTAACTGAGAGATGTTTCTGCAAAATAAAATGAATTTAAAATAAAATATACAACACAAAAGTGATGAGATACACTCTTGTGGAGCATTCATCCGACTTCTTATTTTATAGTATTGACTATTGACATATAATTCAGTATACCCGGTATCGATCAGATGAGTGCATGATATATATTATTATCTCTTTGTTTTTATATAATATTTTACAAACATAGCTGTAAGAATTTTAGAGAATTCCTTTAACAATACTCATTATTTGTAAATAAATATTTTGTGTAACCAACACGTTGAAGAGAGAAACTAATTTGTGACGTAAAAATTATTCTCTTGTATCTCATTAGATGATATTTGAAATGTTAGCGAATTTATAGATATTATTTTATAAGCATTAAGAAATATTTGAGAGATTTACCAATTAGTTATAAGAAACTATGGCTACCTTATTATAATATTTGATCGCATAAATGGTTGTTAATATATTCGTGTAATATATTAATTTATGTTGGTTTTGAGAACTTATTCGAAAAGAATTTTTCAATTTGATGAATTACTTATTATTGCATTTGTTCCTGAGTTGATTATTAGATTTTATTGATAATGTCTTGTTTATAAGTTTTCTATTATTATTGATCGATGTAAGAATAATTTAATTATAATATAGAAATTTGGCTTCGAGGACGTAGTGGAAGTGTAAACGAGTGATTGTTAAGAAATGGCCGACAACTTGTAAATATATTGTTATTTATTTGGAATTTTTATTGTTGCTCAATACGTGGATCGCTAAATTATATGAATGTCCACTTCATCGTTAAACTGAGGTCGTCCTGTACAATACTTTATTATTTATTTATAGAATTACGGTTAAGACGAAAAAGGAAATACAAAAGTTAATTTTATTTCAATTAACCCGAGCTGTGATTTTTACTAATGTATGTGTATTGATACAGTATCCGTTGCAAGGTAACGCAGTCCAGTAGTAATCGTACAGAAACGTTGTGTGGTGTGTTAGAACTCTATCAGCTCCTTGACGACTGCAGTATCAGAGGATCGTGCAACATCTTCGTCTTCCATTAGAAATGTCAATGTTTTCGGTTCGATTACCATAATATGCAACACACGTGAATACGACGTACAATTTTCCAACGCGTTTATTAAGACTTCTGTGAATCTTTTGCAATAACGTTTGGATTTAAAATATATTTTTGATAAAGCATTTATGAAACGATTCATGGTATAATGAAATATTCCCAATTTCATTCAAAGAGAAAATTAATGATGTTGCGAAAGACTTGCATGGAAGGAAATAGGTTGCCGTAACAGATATCAGCTAGCTAAATCTGGTCATCCATATCAGTATCAATATAAGGTCTAAATACGTAATGTAAAGAAATTCGTAGCTACCATAATTTTTACACATTTACAGTTTTGTAATAAATTTCTTATATTTTTTACTTTCCTACTTAAGTTTGCTAATAAAATGTTTTGATAATATAAATAAACTGTTTTTTATTTTATAACCATTACCTATACATTTATACAATTGGCAATAATAAGGTGTAATCTATAATATAAAAATGAATCGCTGAATGTGTTGGTAAGCGCAAATCTCGAGAGCAGCTGAACCGATTTCGCTAATTCTTTTTTTAGAATATTCCTTGAAGTACGAGGATGGTTCTTACGGAGAGAAAAATTTAAAAAATTGCCTGAAAAAGTCTAAAAGCAACAATTTTCTATACTCCCATACAAAAGATTTGTAATAGTACTTAAAACTCAATTTGCACTTTAATAAAATACCATAAAGTTTAAGTGTTAGTGGAGAGGTTCCGGGAAGGCAAAACAATTGAGTGACGTTAGTATCGTATAAATATTAATGTTAATATTTGTCAATATTATTAACAAAAAAAAACAATTAAAATATATATGGCTAACACTGGCTAATAACTATTTATATCTATTTAAAACGTACCTAGCGACGAACCCGAGCGAAGCGAGGGTGAGCCGCTAGTAAATAATAATATTTATCCATTGGGTACAATAAATAAGAAAAAATCAGTCAATTTCGCCACATTATATGTAAGAAGAACCATAATAAATAATAATACTATAAAAGTAAAAATTATCGATTGTTGGCTCTTGACATTTACGCTATCCGGAACCATGTTATTAAATGAAACCTCAGATGCCTCAGACAGCAGACCTCTACTATAAAGTGCAGACCTAACTAGGTAGCGTCCGTATAATTCCCATACGCCTCTTCGTATCTCAAAATTATTTTTAAAACTTATAGGGAATGTAGAACAATATTTAAATATTTTGTTAACATTTAAAGTATATTAGTTGATAAGAATACTAACGCTTGATCGTATATTATTATGTAATATATGTATGTATGTATGTATATATATATATATATATATATATATATATATATATATATATATATATATTTCTTCATTCTACTTCAATTAAACGCTACTATTAAAGGTACACAGAAAATAGTATGCAAAAAAAAAATTAACCTTTGTCCTACAAATGCATTTAACGGCTATAACTTACCATTCTTACTGAGATGGCTTAAATAATTCGCTTAATCCTATTGTGATAAAAGTAAGACAAGTGAACAAAAGGCACATATAAAAACAGATAGCAGGTCTGCG